CCCTACATAGCCAGGACAGCTAAAGCTATATGATACAGAGATTCTGTTAAAAAACAGAAACAAACAGAACAAAACAAAGGGATTAGGAAGTAACCCCTCAAAAACATCCTATAATCAAACAGAACAAAGTAAATACCAGTTTAAAAAAAAAATCACTAAAATATCTGGAAATAGTGCAAGTTCACTGCTTATAATAATGCATTTCCAGTTTGACCAAAAAAAAAAAAAAGAAAGAAAAAAAAAGAAACCCACCAACAACAAAAAACTTTCTGCCTATTGACACAGCTGAGAAAGCATCGCTGAAGGTTCTCATTTCCCTGTGGTCATGTCTAAGTCAGAGTCTCCCAAGGAGCCAGAACATCTGTGGAGGCTTTTTTGAGCAATGGGGAACACTCACAGGCTGTGTGATAATGAGAGATCCAAACACCAAACAATCCAGGGGCTTTGGGTTTGTTACACACGCAACTGTGGAGGAAGTGGATGCCGCTATGAATGCGAGGCTCCATAAGGTGGATGGAAGAGTTGTGGAACCTAAGAGAGCTGTGTCAAGAGAGGATTCTCAGAGACCAGGTGCCCACTTAACCGTGAAAAAGATCTTTGTCGGTGGTATTAAAGAAGACAAGGAAGAACATCATGTGAGATTATTTTGAGCAGTATGGGAAAATTGAAGTGATTGAAGTCAGGACTGACAGAGGCAATGGAAAAAGAGATTTTGCTTTTGTCACCTTTGATGACCATGACTCTGTGGACAAGATTATTCAGAAATACCATACTGTGAATGGGCACAGCTGTGAAATAAGAAAAGCCCTATCCAAGCAGGAGATGGCTAGTGCTTCGTCCAGCCAAAGAGGTCGAAGTTGTTCCAGAAACTTTGGTGGTGGTGGTGGTGGTGGTGATGGTGGAGGTGGTTTTGGCAGCAATGACAATTTTGGTTGAGGGAGAAACTTCAGTGGTCATGGTGGCTTCAATGGCAGCCATGGTGGCAGTGGGTATGGCTCTAATGGATTTGATAGTGATGGAAGCAATTTTGGAGGTGGTGGAAGCTACAATGATTTTGGCGATTACAACAATCAGTCTTCAAATTTTGGACCAATAAAAGGAGAAGTGCTGGCCCTTATGGTGGTGGAGACCAGTACTTTGCTAAGCCACGAAACCAAGGTGGCTATGGTGGTTCCAGCAGCAGCAGCAGCAGCAGCAGCAGGTTCTAATTACAGCCAGGAAACAAAGCTTAGCAGGAGAGGAGAGCCAGAGAAGTGACAGGGAAGCTACAGGTTACAACAGATTGTGACCTCAGCCAAGCACAGTAGTGACTGCTACAAAGACGACATGACAATATTCGGGGGGGGGGGGGCGCGGGGGCGCCCTCCAGGACTGTATTGTGACTAATTGTATAACAAGTTATTTTAGTTTCTGTTCTGTGGAAAGTGTAAAGCATTCCAACAAAGGGTTTTACTGTAGACCTTTTTTTTTCCACCCATGCTGTTAATTGCTAAATGTTATAGTCTGATCAAGACGCTGAATGTTTTTTTTCTTATTAAAAAATAAAAAAAAACCTCAACCACCACGAAAACAAAAAAATCCTTTATAACCTAAAAGGATGTTAAAACCACTATTTTGAAAATTAGGCAAATAATAAGAAAAATCAATTTCCCTGTAGCAACTATCCTATGTAATCAAAAGGGAAAGTCATCTTTTATGTATTTCCACTAAATACTTCTCAGAAATTTAATCTAAATGCTATCATCTTGTAACTATCATTACTTTAAAACTTGAGTTTAGTTTGCCAGGGAACAACCAGAAATTATGTAATTCTACTTGTGTGTGGCATCAAGTATGCCTAGGAAAACAAGATCTCTCCTTCCAGTATGTAGGTTCCAAGGATTAAACTCAGATCATTAGGTACATGGGACACGTCTACAGTACTATAATCCTTAGCATAAAAACATACTACCATTTTGAGCAATCATTTTTCACTAGGCAAAAAGGGGTAGACAAGTGTCAAATCCAGGTCTAGAGACATGAGATTAAGAACACTTGCTCTTTTAAGAATAGACTAGATTCTCAATGTTCACAAGGGGATTAACTACAGTTTTAGTGATTATGACACTCTCTTGAGATTTCTGAAGACACTGCATGCACATTGTGCATATACACACAAACATGCAGTCAGACAAAACAGAAACCTAAAATCAAAGTAATTTTAAAACAACCACAAATCTGAAATAGACACAAGAACTAGCAATTTATAAGAAATAAACTATTTTAAACAAAAGAAATTTAATGTTAGATACCATTGAGGAATAAATGTAAGAGCAGTAAATGTGTATTTGTGTTAAAAAAAAAACCTAAGCAACGAAAGGTTCTAATTATGTAATATCTGGAATTTAGTTCAAACACAAGGAAGAATATGGGTTAAGAATAAGGATAAGGACTGGAGAAATGGATCAGCAGATAGGAGTTATCATTGATCACTGAGCGGACCTAAGTTTAGTTCTCAGCATCCACACCAGGCAGCTCACAATTGCCTGTAACACCAGCTCTAGAGAATTCATCTCCCTTTGTTAGACTGTGAAGGCTCCTCCACACATATGCATACAGACACACAAGAACACACAAATGGACAGTTGACATACACACCACAAATAAATCTTTAAATATATACAGGGCTAGAGATGGCTCAGTGGTTAACAGCAATGACTTGTATTCCAGAGAACCCAGGTTCAATTCCCAACACCCTCATGGTGGCTCACAACCATCTCTAACTATTTCTAGAATATCTGATGTCCTCTCCTGGACTCAGTGGGCACCAAATATGCAAAGAGGGCAGAGATAATGCAAGCAAATAACTCACCCATAATTAAAATTAGTGAGGTGTACAGCATCTCAACCAGCTAGATAAGGAATTTCAATGTCAAATTTATAAGGCCCCGACCCAATTTTCCAATCTTCAACTTAATGAAATGGCGAAATAATTTTAGAAAAACAAAAAAGCATAAACTGACTGCAATGTATGAATCATACTAAACAAAGTTTTTAATTTTTGAGAACAGCAATATTTCTTAAACATAATCAACATTTTAAACTATGCCTGCTTATTATTAGCTTACGTTAAAGAATATAAAGATGTTTTTAGTGTGAAAGGAATGGCAGACGATATACATGAAGCAGTGATTACTGAAGACTATTGGGTTTCAACTTGGGTCTGAGTTGTGTTTATTATCTCATGCCACTTCCCGTCACTCAACCTTGTGGCTGCCCTACCAGGGTACTCTGTGACTTGGTAGATGTATGTACCTTTTGGGTTTATCATTTATCACTGTCCAGTTTCCTGTTGCTGGTTTGTTTCTTAAATATGCAAACTCAGGCCCACATCTCACGCCAATACACATTCTTTCTGTGGGATCTACGTACTGTTTCTAATTACATTTATATAGCTACAAAATCCTCATGTCTCTGAAGTTTCTCTAATCAAACAACCTCTCTTCCTTCCTAACTGGCCTACATCCTTACTATGTTTTTTATTTTTTTCACTGTATGGATACTATTCTCTGCATTTTTAACATACTGTATTATTTGTGTCCGAGGTAGAAGGCCATTTAGAAAACAATTCTGCTTAAATGTATTTATGATTAGTATAATATCAGCATCTAGTAAATAGTATTAAATAAATATTCAAGAGTTCAAGAAGACAGGTATGGTAGTGTCTACCCATAATCCCAATACATGGGAGACCCAAGGACTCAGTTATAATTAAGCCTGGGCTATATTGTATAACTCACAAAACTCTCAAAAAGAGAACTTTGTGGCAGAATATGCCACCTGGGATGTAGGGAAACAAAAACACAACTGCTTTAAAGTTTTCTATTTAGTAAAAGTCAGAAATGAGTTGTGCTGTTTGGTTGTTTTGCCTGCATGTATGTCTGTGTGAGAATGCCAGATCTTGGAGATAAAGACAGTTGTAAGCTACCATGTGGGTGCTGGGAATTGAACTTGGGTGCTCCAGAAGAACAGTCAATGCTCTCGACCTCCAAGTTGTCTCTCTAGCCCGCTGATTTTTGTTGGTTTGGCGGGGAGGGCACAACAGAAAAAATATTCAGGTATAAAAATTACACATAATGCAAAAAATGTTTTTTGTTTTCATTTTTTGGTTAAGACAGGGTTTCTCTGTGTTGCCTTGGCTATCCTGGTACTTTACTTTGTAGACCAGGTTGGCCTCGAACTCACTCAGAAATCTGCCTGCTTCTGTCTCCCCAGTGCTAGAATTAGGCCCAGCTTATAATGCAATATTTTAACTAGAAAATAAGGCTTAGAAAACAAAGATGCTTGGTACATGAGCCTGATGGGGTCCATCCTTAAACCTATACAAAGTTAGAGAGGACCAACTCTAAAGTAGCCTTCAGACCTCCACAACTTGTCCTAGCATGTGCACCCACACAAATCAAGCATATATTCAAACACGCCCACACTAATACCAGCTGTAAGACTTTATTTTATTTTTAAAACTTCAAATACTTAAGGATATATATTAGTCAGTTAATAAGCTGACTATAAAGTTATAAAAAAATTAACCAAATGTTAAGTCAAAAAGGATTTTAACTGGACTTTTAACTATACAACAGGACTTTCCATTATAAATCAAGACTATAGTCACTGTTATGTCTGGTGAGAAGTAATGCTGCTGAGAAATTGTTCCTTTCAGGTTCGTGTTAACACTGTTTTATGGGGTAAATTTTAAAAAGCTTCAGATAAAAAATAAACTGAAAATATGTAATCAGATGACATAACTATCTATGATTCTTTCCTACAGTTAGAAAAAATATTTTTTAATAAAAATCTGGATTATTTTTGTAATTCCAATTGAGCAGTCAAAAACAAAAGTACAGAAGGAAATCGAAAAGATTTTAAATTATTATATCAACAAGTAACCAATAAGAGTAACATTTAACTAATTATTCAGAGACTTCAATTGAGGGAGGAAATGTTTTAAAGTATTCACTTACTAGCTCCGCTTCCAATTGTTCTATGGAAAAGCTGTGACATCCGAGGACCAAGAGGACCAAACAGGTGAGGAGGAAGACCCCTGGCCTCTAACAGGGCTAAAGAAAAAAAAAAAAAAAGAGGCAGGGGAGTAGTTGAGTTGATTTAAAAAATTGTTCTTATCTAAAAATGTCAAGGAAGTGATTCATCTCACATATCCCAATGTTACTTTCCAATCTGAATTTTAAGAGAAACTAAGTTAAATTTCTAAAACCTCAGACATAAACAAATTTAGTTACTACAAATTAAAGAACCGCATGACATCTTCAAATATATTTAAGTTTTAGGGAGAAGTTAAAACATATCCTGACCAAAACTATGTAAGAAACCATGAGGTAAATTAAGTATCTTAGGTAAAGTCATATATAAAAAGAGCCCTTGCCTCGTTTTTCCATAAACATTACTTCCCAGAGAGATTTTGGTAAACCTGTCCAAACCCATGAAAATCATTTTTACCAGTTAACAAAGAAAAGCTATGTTTGTAAGTGGGACCACAGAAGAAATTATAAAAACTTGTTATCTCTCAGGAACTGTAAAGCAATGTGAAGCTGACATATCATATCTCTTTTAAGTCTTATATTGAAAATCTATTGAAAATCCATCATCTGAGATTTAAGTACAAACTCACCTATTCAAACATGGAGTACATACAATACAACATTGTATTTTAAAGGCTCTGAGAACATTAACAAAAATAAAAAAAAAGAAAACTAGAGTTTACAAAAAAACATGGGACTTGGGGAAAGCCCATGCTATTAGATTTATGGTGTTAGATACCATAGAGTAACAACATATTGAGGTGCTTTGTAAATGTATTGCTAAAGCCAATTACACATGTAATCATGTGAATTAACTTTAAAAAAAAAAATGAGGCTTTTGCTTGGTTAAACAGTAAAAACGAAGACGCAGACAGGTCATTTCCAAACTCAAAATATCACGTTGTCATGAAGTACATTTTTTTCCTCCAGAGGAGCAGGTATACCTAGAACTGCTAGACAACATTCAGGAGAATATATATGAACTGATTCAAGTCAAGAATAGGAGGATCTGCAGCCTGTGATAATCATTTCTTGCACATTCAATAGCTCTCTTTACCTTGTAATCGTCCCATCTCAGAATCATCCGATTCACTCTCCCCAGAGGTGGTCATGCCAACAGCCCCTGCAACAGAACTAGAGGCTTGGGGAGAGGAAGGTAAGGATTAGGAGGAGTATTTAATCTCGTATGTCTGGCTTACCTTAAAGAAAAACCAAAGTTTACAGACTATAATAAATTAAATGTGTCTTCCTACACACTCAGCCATTCTACAATCCCTTCCATAAAATTTAGGAGCAAAAAGAGAGCTCAGCTACTTTTATAAACATAATCATAAACTTTGAAACCTTCAAGCCCCTGAAACAGCTTTCTCCTGAATTCCTCTGCCGTTCATTAATCAAGTCAGGCTCTAAATTATAGTTCAGAAGTGTAAATAATCATTTATCTGTTTTCTCTAATTGCAAGAGATTATATACACTCTTCCTTTGGGAATGAACTACTAAAGACATACATTACAATTTACACCTAAGTGCAAAGAATTGCAATGAAGTTATGAAAAAGCAGAAAGATGCCAAAAATTAAGGTAGAATGAAGACTTCCACTACACAATATATATGAACCAAATAAAAAACAAAACCAGTTCAAGTTAATAACAGCAGCAGATATTATAACTCTTAGAGAAACTAGTAGTCTGCTAAATCACTAAGTATATGCTGAGACACACACAGTTTCAAAAATAGGTTTGGTCTACGTATGACTGCATCATTAACAATACCATCAGCCTACTTACTGGACATTGACAGAATGCAAGGCAAAAACACAGAGGTTTATGATTGACATAAATTTGGGATTTCATCACCAGCAGAGAGGACACACACACACACAAAAACCACAAGACCCCATTAAAAAGTAAAAGAAGCCAATGTGGCAGTCATTAACCAACTCAACAATTTTAGAAAATGTTTCTTTAAATATTGTATTCTTTAACTTCACCGGACTCTTTAATTCTTAAATATAATTTAGAAAAAAAGAGAACAGTGGCCCATAGGCCAAATCTGGTTCATTAGTTATTTGTTAATATAACTGATAAAAACATAGCTGTATGCATTTTTTATGAACTGTCTTGCTGCCGTTTTCCAATTACAATCCCAATGTTAACATTTTCATAGCTAAAGTTAAAGCCTCTAAGATTAACACAGAAGATAAAAAGACTAAACTAACTGTACCATATAAGGCTACTTATGAGGAAGCATTAATACACATATATGCTGAATTGTCAACAACCAATATTCTTCATGCACAGGAAAAAATTAAGCTTCATGACTTCAACTGCTCATGTCACCTAGTAATCAGGTTAGAACCCAGAGAGCCAGGCTTCACTCCTACACTCTAAATTATACTTCTAAAACACATCCCTTAGCTGGAAATTTTAATTCAGTTACAATCATTGTACCAAGCCCTATCAACAAGTAATAATATTTTAGGTACTAATTAAGACCCAGTCTGTTCAAGTGGCTTTTTTTTTAAGCATGGGAAAGCAAGCAAAATTAAACATAAAATGTCGAAGAATCTACAATCATTAAAAGATATCTCTATTTCTAATAAATTTCATAGTAAACACAGCAAACTACTTTTCGACAAAGATGTTAACTAAGAAATGCAACTTTTGAAACATAATTAGAAGCCCCGTTTAGTGACAAAAAACTTGGCCTGATTAATATAAGTCAGACAGGTCTAATTCTCAATAATAGTAATCGGCCAAAAGGAGTCTATTACAGTGGAACTCTAATAGTATGACCTTCCTCCTCCCAAAACCACTCTATAAAAAGGATAGGTATTTTTCTTTTCAAAAGGTTAAGTTGCCAATAGTGACAAATTTGCTATCATTCAAAATGAAGAAACTGAACTTTTTGCCATCCCTTAGTGTGTAGAAGCCAAGGGAAGACATCAAGTTTGTCCATCTATGTATGGGTACCAGGCTTACTCCTTAAACAGTGTCTCTATATGCTGGCCTAGGCCAACACTGGGGTTACAATACTGGAAACACAAGTCCAGCTTTTTAAGAGGTACTAAGGAATCTCAACTCATATTTTCCTGCTTCTGCAGCAACAGCTCTTAGTCACTGAGTTCCCCCCAGACCTTGGTAGCTCTTTCCAACTCTGACACAATTGTCCAATGATGTGAGGAGTTCCCTTTACATACTGTTGTACAAAATTAAGCACTCAGATTAATCTAGCCTTTAAGCTAATTTAATTAAAAATAGCTTTTTAAAAAAAAAAACAAACACCTGTTAACTCAAAAAGCCCAAAAACTTTATTCATAACCAAAGTAATCGGAAAGAGAAGGCATTAAAAATGGTGGTGGTGGTGCAGGCCTTAATTCTAGCACTCAGGAAGCAGAGGCAGGAGGATCTTTGTAAGTTCAAGACAAGCCTGCTCTAATTCCAGGACAACTAGGGCTGTTAAAAAGAGAAACCCTGCCTCAAAAAAATCAGAGAAGAAAAAAAAGAAAAGAAACTGCGTGCAACGGTATGGTAGCTTACACCTTTAATCCCTGCACTTAGAAGAGGAAACAAGGCAAGTTCTGTGCATTGAGAGCCAGAGTGACACCAGGCCAGCCAGAACTACATAGTGAGAACCTATCTTTTGTTGTTTATAGGACTGTTAATCTTTAATTTTTATCTAGTTTTAATTTCAAAACAAAATAAAACCAAAAGCACCACAATATAAAACACTCAACCACTCTATTTGGTGAAGGAGGGAGGTTTCCTGTCTTAAGGCATCGATGACAGAATAGAGGAAAACAAAAACTGGACATAAGCAGAGAGCCAGGTAGAGATCCTGTCTTAAAAACAACAAAAATAATGCTACAATGCTTTCTAGGATATGACCTTGACCATTTCTTGAAGTTATGAAGTCTTTTTTTTTTTTTTTTTTTTTTTTTGGTTTTTCGAGACAGGGTTTCTCTGTGGTTTTGGAGCCTGTCCTGGAACTAGCTCTTGTAGACCAGGCTGGTTTCGAACTCACAGAGATCCGCCTGCCTCTGCAGTTATGAAGTCTTGACATGAAAAGTGAATACCAGGACACTGCCTATTTTCCCTTGCCAACTACAGAACCACTGTTCAAAAGACAGACATCAAAAAGTAGTTCAAATCACCCCAAATGTGTCCTCTATGCTAATTTTGGTTTGTATTTTATACATAGAAAAACTAAAGTAGATTTTCCCAGAAGTATTTTACCTCAACCCAGAGGAATTTCTGCTATGCATAAAGAAATTACTAAACTCAATGCTACTCTAACAGCAGTAAACATCCATGTGAACATTTCATCAAAAAAAAAAAAAAGGAGAGGGGGCGCCCTCTATCACAGTGATTTCAAATGTAAATGACAGACACACTACAGTCACTTGAAGCATTTACCCTCTTAGATAATGTATCAAAGACCAAATCTACCCTTTCTAGCCTTGAAATGTATACACGTAAATTAAACTCTTCGAACCCCTAGGGAGCGAACACAGCTGTCCTTTGTTTCTATGACCTGGATTGAAGCGTCATAAATCTTAGCTTAGAACTCTGGGAAAGCTTACCCAATGTGTGCCTCAGTTTTCCCCTCATTTATAAATGACAGAAAGAGAACTCACACCTCAGCAGGTTGTTTTGAATAGTCAATGGGATTATATGGAGGAATGTTTAAAGCCACAAATGCAGAGTGAACAGGTGTTACAATTAAAATTACTTTAACAGTAAACTCTAACAATGAATTCAGAAATCTCATTTCTGTCACTCATTTGATGACTGACCTTATACTTTAATATTCTGACTTGAAATAAATAACGAGAGGATAGGAAGTGATGTTCAACACTGAAAAGGAGAGGCCCTGTTATTATCAACAGCCTGAATGAGCCTGCAAGTGATACAGCTTGTATTCTTCCAAACATTTACCAATAACTAGTTAGAAAAACAGAGGGGAATCTTTAAAATTTAATCCCCAATAGAAGAGATGCTACAAATTCAGTGTATAATTCTTCTTAATTTAGATACAGCAATGGCTTCAAAATAAGCCTAGCTAAGCAGAGTACAATAAACATGAGTAACCAGACCTTTCCAGCAATCTAATTTATTACCAACCACAGGCAAAAGAAAAAACTACTGTATAGTCTAATAGCAAATCACACTACATAAAAGCTTTGTCAAAAAGTCTGTATATGCTTTGCAACTAAATTTGATGTAGCACGGTTGTAGAAATACATACACATTCATAAATGAAAAATTACAGTGTTAATTCTGTTTTGAAAGAGCAATTATACACTAGGTTTTAAATTTCACTTACCACAATTATGGTAATGGTAACAGATACTTAAAGCTAAAAAAAATGCATTTTTTTCCTTGGGAGGGGGGTGACACCCAAAGATTATAAAGAAAAAAATTTAAAAGCCCATAGAAATCTAAATACTATTATTATAGTATCTTCAGAACAAAATTAATTTTTAAGGGCTTACAAAATGCTAGTTAAGAGTCATATGCTTACAAAATGCTAGTTAAGAGTCATATGCTTACAAAACAATTTAAAATACATTCTTACATTTTTATTATAAAATTAAATTCACTAAAACAATTGTTAGTCAACTCATGATATATACTGATCCATATATAAAAACCTTAAATGGAAAATTTACACCTTCGTATAAAGCCCTCTGAATGTATCTAGTAAAAGAAATTTTAACAATGAACCTACTAATCAAAACACCCAATTTATTATGTACAACAAAATTGGGCGGGGGAAATATTTCATGGTAACATCTATGGTAATTCTGTTCCCTCCTTTATCTTACGTATAAATTGAAAAAATTCATCCAGAAATAAATTGTTAAGACAAAAAAAAAAATGTCTCAGAACTAAGAAGTGCCCGTCTACCTGCTGCTCCTTGGGGAGCTTCATCTGTCCGGGCAGCTGAGGAATTTACTGTCTCCTGGTTGCTTTCTGGGTCTGCCATTTTCTCTTGCCGCCGAGCCTCAGCTGCTCCTCTCTTGCCCAGGCCAGAGCCTCGCCGACTGCAACAGAAAAATGTCATCAGCATTACCAAGGCACGAGGAGCAATGTATAGACAACGCAAAACTCAAATTCACAAAGCACAAAGCCAGTTTCTTCTCCCTTTTAAATAAAAAATGTTATCAAAAAAAAAAATCACTGAGACTTTGTATTTCTGAAATTCTTCCAAGGTATAGCTCACACAGTACAAGCTTTTGTTACTGGAGCTATTGTCATCTTTACAGATAGAAATGATTTTAAACACTTCCAGCTAAATGGAAAAGTGGATCTTCCTGGAGGACGAAAAAAAAATCTACATATTTAAAATACAAACTCACTTCCAAACATAGACAATGGCTTACAAAATGACAGCAAAAATAGTAGGATCAAAAGATCAGAGAGATCATGCCCATACTCTTATATCAGACTACCTAAATCATTTAAATCAAATATCTTAACAACGCAAAACTGTTAGGGGTTTAATACTTATGAACACCACATATGACTTTGAGAAAGTCAGTTTTAAGGACAGACTGTAGTGCAACCTGATAGTGTCGAGTAACACAAAGAGAACAGGTTCAATGAGCAAGAGAATGAAGCTCTCAATTAACCTGAGTAACTGAGTTTATTTTTAGCCAACTCTAAACAGGAGTGGGCTTAACTAATCTTTGCTTCAAAAGTAAAGAAATCATTCAAACCTAACTTAGTATCAAGCTGCAAATAAGATTTAAATACATTCAACATGTAATTTTCACAATACTCTAGGCGAAACACTCTGTATATACAAGATGTTACTCAAAGACTGTTTCTCTGAAAGAAGCCCGCAAGCTCATTAGGTCAATAAGGAATAAAAAATAAAAAATCTTAAAAATTCATAAAATATAACCTAGACCAAGACTGTTTAATGCAAGAATGCTAGACGGCTTGTGCACAACATGACCACATATACTGAAATTTTACATGCACTGATCACAAGGCCATGTGTAACAAAAGGGTGCAATGAAAGAAAAAGAAAATATTAACACTAAATAATCTATCTGACTTCACATGCAGCAAATTCAAACTATAACCCTTTGGTAAGACTGAAAGGTGGAAGGAGTACTGCAGAGTTGTACAGTTAAGGGAGCATATATCTCTTCTAGGTGATCAGAGGTCAATTCTGAGCTCCCAGAATCCACACAGGAAAGCTCACAATTGCCTGTAACTCCAGCTCAAGAAGATCAGTCACCTTTGACCCCTAAAAGCACCTCCACATTATCAATAAACAAAGATTATTTTAGAAAATGATTTTTTTTCATTTTTTAGAATGTTGAAAATTTGGCACAAAATGTGAATAAAGCTCTGTAGAACTCAGAATTATTTTCTCACAAGCCCTCAAAGGTATTAATAAGAAACCTCAAATGCAGTCAGTTACACTAGTTCTAGATACTTTAAAAGCAATATGGAAAAAATGTGTGTGGAGGACAGAAAACAGAAGTTTTTTATTCTCAGGCTATGAAGATTTCATATTCTATTTGGGTACTGTGGCACAAATCTTTAAAAATCCCAGAGTTCAGAGAAATCTTTGGGTTTGAGGCCAGCCTGGACTACACAGTGAATTCCAGTACCCCCAGGGCTATATAGAGAGAACCTGTCTCATTTAAAGAAAAAAGTCAAATTCTCTCCTCATGTCATCATTAAACACTGAAAGCTGATCAAAACTGAGTCTTAGGAAATAACCAAATGCCATTCAAAAATGACTGCCTACTTAAATCTGAACAGAAATAAGTCAGCCTAAAAATCAGTGACCCATTACTATTTTTACTGCATTTTCTAGAAGAAACTACATTTAAAAGAGGAAGAGTTTGCCGGGTGGTAGTGGCTCGCGCCTTTAATCGCAGCATTCAGAGGCAGAGGCTGGTAGATCTCTGTAATTCCAGGCCAGCCTGGACCACAACAGCTAGTTCCAGGACAGGCTCCAAAGCTACAGAAAAATATGATCTGAAAAAAATAAATTTAAAAAGAAAGAAAGAAAGAAAGAAAGAAAGAAAGAAAGAAAGAATTTCTCTGTTTAACAGCCCCGGCGGCTGTCCTGGAACTCTGTAGAACAGGCTGGCCTCGAACTCACAGAGATCCGCCTGCCTCTGCCTCCCAAGTGCTGGGATTAAAAACAAGGTGTGTGTCACCACACCTAGTGATACAGCCATTAAAGCACACACGCTTTCGGTTCAATCACACCACACTGAAAGTCCACCTTTCATTAAAGGTATCTAATCTGCACAAAAGAGGTCACTGGAAATCTATTTGTAGAACTGTGCATTTTTTCCCCAGCCAGCATTTCACTCTATAGTCTTGGCTGGCCTGGAATTTACTACGTAGACCATGTTTGCCTTTAACTAGTAGAATTTTGCTTGCCTTTGCCACCAGAGTGCCAGGAGGTGACATTAAATCCAGCTCAACCTAATGTCTAAATACTGGTAATAATTGTAAAATGTTTTTTCCAAAAGAGAAAAAATTTAAATGTGTCAAAAAATAACATGGCTTGTGCAACTCCTTTGAGGCATTATGAGTTGAGCTTTCATTTTGATGTTTTTTATTCATTTGTTATGGGATAGGGTCTCACTATGCAGCCCTTGCTGCCCTGGAACTAGCTATGTAGACCAATCAGGCTTCAAACTCAGAGATCTATTTGCCTCTTCCTTCAAGTGCTAGAGGATTCTCAGCCCAACCACACTTGGCTGAGTTTTCACTTTAATTCTGTTGACAATTCTGTTGCAATAGGAATTAGACATGACTAGAATGACTGAATATGTTTACTGCACTGACTCACTTAGAAAAAAACTGGTTTTTGTAGTTGCTATTGATTGCTTTTTCTTTGTGTTTATTTTTGTTTGGCTGGTTTTTTGGACAGGCATGTTGGCACATGCCATTAATCCCAGCACTCCAGAGGAAGGTGGATCTCTGAGTTTGAGGCCACCCTGTGGCTTACAGAGCAAGTTCCAAGACAGCCAGGGCTACACACACACACACACACACACACACACACACACACACACAATTTAAAAAAAAATAAACACCTATCTAGAAAAACAGAATTAACTTTTAAAAATTTTGCATAAAGTTATTCCATTACTTTTATTTAATATGTAAATTACATTCTATATATTACTGAGCTGGGTGTGGTAGCATACTCCTGTGAGCCCATAACTTAAAAGAGACTGAAGCAAGGAAATATTAAGTCACAGGTTACCTTGGTCACAACCAAGACCCTATCACAACAATGGAAGGAGGAAGAGGAAATGAGACAATTTGGAGTAAGGGAAGGAAAAATTAGTTGGTAATTTTAAGATGTACAGAAAAACTGAAACAAAGTTGAAACACCTGAGCAAAAGAAGGTAAAAACTGTAAGCTCAAAAATTTAAATTACCTGGTACTAGCACAGGAGCCCGTGGTCTTTTGACGTGTGCTCCTCCTCAAACTGGGGAGCTCAGCAGGTGGGGACTCACTGCGCTTCTTGGTAGACTTTCTTAAACCTACATGAGAAATAGAAAAGTTGAATTTTCTAAGTTATCATGAATCAGGTGTTCAGAAAACCCATGCTTTTTAAAAAACCTACCAGCTCTTCCCGTGATCTTTAGCATCAGTCCAATCACTCAACACAAGTCTCACAGTAGCCGTCCTGCCTTTCCCAGGTCCTCTACCCTCTAGCTCCTGAGATTTCCCTGGTGTAGACTCTGGACTTAAAGAATTCCATTTAACTGGGTGGTGGTGCCGCACGCCTTTAATCCCAGCACTCAGGAGGCAGAGGCAAGCTAATCTTTGAGTTCGAAGCCAGCCTGGTCTACAGAACTAGTTTCAGGACAGCTAGGGCTGTTACACAGAGAAATCCTGTCTTGAAAAACCAAATAAATAAATAAGGAAGGAAAAGAAAAAAGAAAGAAAAAAATTCTCTCATTAATTTTACACTACCCCTTGATCTATTTTGGCTACTTTATATAAGGCTAATCAAAAAAAGCACAGTATGCAAGACAGTATTTCATTATTTCATTTATGCCATGAGCCTGAAACTAAAGTTTAGTGGAATGACCAATTTTTAGAACATAATAAGGAAGAAATCAACCCAGCAACTTTACAGTTATTCTGAAAGCTACCTAATGCTCTTATAGTGATAGTTGCTACTAAAGTTCTAATAACCAAAAGCTTGTTATTTTTAAATGAAGAAGCCATGACAGCATCTACACTTATACCCTCCTTTTCACCATAAACAATGGTACCATGTATGACAGTATACAGGGCAGTAGGCTCTATTTAATGAAACAACTTCAATAGTGAAAAGACTCCAAAGTCAATACTCTGAATACTACGGGACCAACCATGTTAAATGAATGCAAACTTTTCAGAGCATAAGTATGTGTTTGGTCTCAATTACTTCTATTTTTCCATTAAGTTTTAAGTTTTGGACATATCTTTTTAAGGTGAAAATTCGCTACAGGGTGGGGGAGGGGGGGAAAGACAGAAGTCATTATGTAGCCCTAGCTAGTCTGATGCTTGCTTTGTCTCCCACTGCTGAGATTAAAGTGAACTACCACTACCTGGCCTAGTACTTTTGAGTTCTTAAAGCGCCAAGAAGGGGACTGGGAGAGAATGAATTGAAAAAAATAATTCAAGATATCTATGGGACAAGAGAGATGACTCAGTAATTAAGAAAGCTTACTGTTTTTGCTAGCAATCCAGATTCAGTTTCCGGCACTTACACACAGAAGGCAACCACCTCTATCTCCAGATGTAGGTAGGCCTCTTCAAAGTTCCACAGACCATGCTCTACGCTCCTTGCACACGTACATACACTCAAACATACAGATAATTTTTTTAAATGGCATATTAGGTATCTCCATCTTTTTTATTAAATTAAAACTGCTGCTCATTCAAGTAGAGATCATCTTTATATAATCGGGAAAATTGATGAATGAGTCTTCAAACAAAATCAGACTCTGAAGACAAATCCAATGGCCAGAGTGACACTCACTATAAACTAAACATTCAGGGAGTATATAACCTTTGAAAGAATAGACATTTAAAATAAAAGGAAAAGAATCAGAGCATTATAATGTAATTAATAAATAAAGACTAGCTTAAGAATTCTTGAAATCTCCATTTGGTTTTAGGTTAATTTTCAACCCAATTTCTTGATGTAATCACACACCTGTGCATTCTACTCTACTAAGCCTTTGTCTTGACATACAATTTGGTCACAAGAGACACAACAGAAGTGCATATTGCAATAAAACTGACAACATACTTAGTCAATATTTTAAAAAAAAAAATCCAGCCACTTAGGCAACATGCTATAAATTTTACACTTGGGGTTGGAAATGGGAGGATTAGCCTGGGTTGCATGAATCTCTCTATCTCAGAGAAGAGAGAGAAATTTATTTCAATATTACCTTCACAACACAGTAACTTCAAACCTAGTCTGAGTTACACAAAGCTCTGTCTCAAGCAACCAAAAGCACTCAAGATCGAAGGAAAATATACACAGGAAAAAAAAAGCAAAACAACTTTCACTTACAATAAATCACTTAAAAATCTGTTAAGAGCCAGGAGGTGGTGGTGTACACCTTTAATCTGTGATTAAGGAAGGCAGAGGCAGACTGATCTTTTGAGTTTAAATCCAGCCCTTTCTACGTGAGTTCTAGGACAGCCAAGGCTACACAGAGAAACATTGTCTTGAAAAACCAAACACAAAAAACAGTAAAAAAAAAAAAAAAAAAAAAAAAAAACAAACCTGATAAGGATACTATAATGTTATGTCATGTTATGTGTGTATCTTTCTATATAACATGATAGTGATAGTGGTAAGTAATAGACAGTAACAGAAAGAAGAAAAGCCTGCAGAGCAATGATGGTATACACCTTTATTTCCAGCACTTGGGAGGCAGTGATAGGTGAATCTCTGAGTTCCAGGTCAGCCTAGTCTACAAAGCCAGGGCTGTTACACAGAGAAACCCTGTCTCATCGGGCCCCTCCCCCCCCCAAAAAAAAGGAATGAAAAAAAAAAAAAGAAAAAAGAAAAATGCCTAGTGCCACGAAAAACGGAAAAAGTATTTGCACGTACATGAAAAAAAAAAACCTGCCTTCTGAATTAAAAAAAAAAAAAAGACTAAAAAATATGCACTGAATTCTACCCCTTCACAAAATGTCCATTAAAAGAAAAATCTGACTTTCAGGGTACAGAGAAACCCTGTCTCAAACTCCCTCTACCCTTTAGCACTGGGGAGGCAGAGGCAGGTGGATTTCTGTGAGTTCAAGGCTAGCCTGGTCTACAAGAGCTAGTTCAGGACTCGCTCCAAAGCAATACAGAGAAACCCTGTCTTGAACCACCCCCTCTTCCAAAAAAAAAAAAACAGTTATTTATGGTTGGGTGGCACACTGCTGGGCAGTGGTGGTGAATGTCTTTAATCCTAACACTCTGGAGGCAGAAGCAGGTGTATCTCTGAGTTGGAGGCCATCCTGGTTACAAGAGCTAGTTCCAGGACAGGCTCCAAAGTTACAGCGAAACCCTGTGTGTGTGTGTGTGGGGGGGGGGGGGGGGGGGGGGGGCACGGGACAGTTTTCCAAGTGAAAAGCAAACATTGGCACTGCACTCCCAAATGCTATAAGGCAGAAAATTGAGACAACCACCAATTATAGCTGAGTCTACATAAACTAAAGACACAGAAACTGATGGTGCTAAGAACCTCTGGGGGCAATTCTGAAGTTAAAACAAAAGATTAAATGATAGAAGTTTATGAAGCTACCTGATTTCCAGATCCTGATTACAGAGTTCCTGTATAATTTTCAATTGTGAAGCTGGGCAACTTTCTGGACCCAGGAAACACAGGAATGTTATACTTCACAACATGCAAGTTACAGAAATTCTCGTTTAAAGCATCCAGTCACAAATATATATGTCATGTTCCCACACCACACCCAGGACTCTTCTCAGTTCAAGTTCCTCAGAAGTTTGACACACCTTCACTTTCAGACAGGAGTTTCAAATCTTCCCTGTGGAATTTTACCAACCTAAAAAAAAAACTAATCTAAAAATAGTAACACAGATAAGATTTCGTTACAGAATAATCCAACCAATCATTAGGCAGTAAATCTCAACTCGCACTCACAGCTTAGAAATTAGGTTTCCGCTCTTATCTTACACTTGACTAAGCAGACAATCACTACCACCAAACACTGAAGAAAAGTTCCTAGCTTCAAACAAAACCTATCCAAACGCTAGCAAACACACAGCACTTAAGTCAGAAAAAGACAATATTCAAGCACGGAAAATTACCGCGGTAGTCAAGAAACAAAACTCAATAAACCAAATACAGGATTCTATGTAGAAAAAAATGAATCATAACACAATCTCTTAAAAATAAGCTAGTAAATATGTGGGCTAGGGTGAAATAAAAATCAACAGGTTGGAAGATGAAGCTGGGGAAAGCTACCAGAAAAAATAAAAGTAAACCAAGGACAAAAACGTCAGGTTTCATTTAAGAGGAAATCCCCCTACCCACCCATTTAAAATAAATAGATAAATAAAAACAGGAAATCTAGAGAGAAAATAAACAAGGACCAGGTAACTAGCAATGGGTTTTTCTAGGACAATCCTGACTTTTAGGCTCAAAGTTCAAACCGAATGAAAGTCCTAGATCCAGGGGAAACAAAGACAGTTGGTCAATCTAACAAGGAATGAAAACAAATGTTAAAGAAATAAGATAGTTTTACTTTCTGAGTAACAGATAGTACTTGAGCTAACATAAAAGCAAATTACCAAAACATATAGGTAATTATAGTATTAAAAAATAAAAGTGGTTAAGATACAAGCCATTTAAAATCTGAGAAAATAGCTCTGAAGAGGCTGAGGCAGGACAACTATGAACTAAGAAAAGGTTATAAGACAGGAAAAGACGAATGACTAAAGCACACTCTACAGCTGGCAGCAATACACCCCGGCATAAACAACATCTGGAGGTCATCCTGTCTTCAGTAGGGTGAAACAGTATGGAGACCATATGGAGAAGTATGGAGGTACATGGAATTAAGAAAGTGATATGATCAAATAAAAGTAGAAAAACAACAAAAAAGCATAAAATTCGGGGAAATAACAGATTAAAATGAAACATTTATTTCATATAGTACAGACATTTATAAATTCATGTAATACAACAAGTATAAGAAGAAAACAGAAAGTTTATGTTAAGCGAAAGGTTGGGGAAGTTAGACACAAAGTTCTCCTAAGTCTTAGGATTAACAGCATAGTGGTGTAGTGCAGGTTGGTTTGAGGTTCCATCTTTGGAAATAAAGGGATTTTAAGGGTCCTCAGGGCTGGAGAGATGGCTCAGTGGTTAAGAGCACTCACTGGCTGCTCTCCTAGAGGTCCTGAGTTCAATTCCCAGCTACGACATGGTGGCTCACAAACCATCTGTAATGAGATCTGGCACCCTCCTCTGGCGTGTGGGCATACACGGAGGTAGAATGTTGTATACATAATAAATAAATCTTTAAAAAAAAAAAAGGGTCCTCATTTTCTATAAGGACAATAAAAGATCAAGCCAGGAAGTGGTGGCACATGCCTTTAATCCCAGTACTGAGGAGGCAGAGGCTACTTTCTAAGTAGCCCTAATGAAATTTGCTGGGTTCACTCACACACACATACCATCACATCCCTTACAACATTTAGCTAAGGGAGTGATTGGGAAGAGGAAGGAGAATATTAAAGGAAACAAAAAAAGTAATAGATATGATTGGATTACATGAATATAGAAAGCCATTTTGTATAATTATATATATATAAACTCTTTCCTTTCCCCTTCTTTCTTCTGCATACCTTCCACCCCTTTCTTTCTTCTCTCTCTCTCTCTCTCTCTCTCTCTCTCTCTCTCTCTCTTTCTTGAGGGTTCCACTATGTAGTCCTAAATAGCCTCAAACTCACGACGACCTGCATGCTTCTGCATCTGTCTCCAGCCTGCTGGGACTGAAGATGTGCACCACACCACACCTGGTCCTAGAAACTATTTCTTTAAGGTGACTGGCTGGAAGGGTTGAGAAATGAATCATCACTTATCAGCAGTGGTTGTTCTTCTACACAATCCTGGTTTGATTTCTAGTACCCAAATGTCAGCTCACAACTGTAACTCCAGTTCCAGGGAATCTGACACCCTCTGTCTAAGAGGGAACCATGCATGACCATGGTAAACAAACATAAATGCAGTCGAAACACCCATATACATAAAAAAAAATTAAAATGTTGTTAGTAAGAAAAGAAAGCTCAGCAGGCATAGCGGTGCATGCCTGTAATCTCCACACTAGAGAGGCTCAGGTAGAAGCATCAAGAGTTCAAGTCTTCTAGAGTAAACTATAGTTCAACCTTACTTGCATAAAGAGACCCTGCCTCAAAAGAAATGAAGAAAGAAAGCTGACATTTGAGGAGAGTCTGAAGACATGGCCTGTAGTATTTACTATGTCCCATCACCTGACCATGGAACTACCTTAAGAATTAAGAATCTGGCCAGGCGGTGGTGGCGCACGCCTTTAATCCCAGCACTCAGGAGGCAGAGGCAGGCAGATCACTGTGACTTCGAGGCCAGCTAGTTCAGGGACAGGCACCAAAGCTACAGAGAAACCTTGTCTCGAAGGAAAAAAAAAAAAAGAATTAAGAACCTAGTCTGGTGGTGGTAGCACACGCCTTCAATCCCAGCACTTGAGAGGCAGAGGCAGGAGAATCTCTATGTGTTCGAGACCAGCCTGGTCTACAAAATGAGTGCCAGGACAGGCTTTAAAGCTACACACAGAAACACTGTCTCAAAAAAAAAAAAAAAAGAAAAAGAAAAAGAAAGAAAGAGTAAGAAAAGAGATGAATAACTTGAGTGAAGTACTGAGAAGAGGAAAGGAAGAATATCAATCTTCAGCATTTTAATAACGTAAACAGAATCCAATTTACTGGCTATGAAAACTACAGTTTTCTAACAGAAACACCCAAAAAGAAAGCTATCAGTTATTACTTCATTTCAAGTGGGAAAGAGAAATAGACATTAATATTTCTAATTGTCAAGAAAACCTGGGCAGATAAAAAAAGGACATTGAGCCTATAATTAGTGATCCTAGAGAAGTTAAATAAGAAGGAGAACCCAAAGAAAAACATATAGGCATCCTCCTAAATATTAACCTTCATCAGGCGATGAAAGATACAGAGACAGAGACCCACATGGAAGCACCGGACAGAAATCTCAAGGTCCAAATCAGGAGCAGAAGGAGAGAGAGCACGAGCAAGGAACTCAGGACCGCGAGGGGTGCACCCACACACTGAGACAATGGGGATGTTCTATTGGGAACTCACCAAGGCCAGCTGGCCTGGGTCTGAAAAAGCATGGGATAAAACCGGACTTGCTGAACATAGTGGACAACGAGGACTACTGAGAACTCAAGAACAATGGCAATGGGTTTTTGATCCTACTGCACATACTGGCTTTGTGGGAGCCTAGGCAGTGTGGATGCTCACCTTACTAGACCTGGATGGAGGTGGGTGGTCCTTGGACTTCCCACAGGGCAGGGAACCCTGATTGCTCTTTGGGCTAACGAGGGAGGGGGACTTAATTGGGGGAGGGGGAGGGAAACGGGAGGCGGTGGCGGGGAAGAGACAGAAATCTTTAATAAATAAATAAATAAATAAATAAAATAAAATAAAAAAAGAAAAAGAAAACCTGGGCAGAATGGGGTACCAAGCTTTTTCAGCAAGTCTTTCATTTCCTTTTGATGCTAAAGTTACTAAACTTCCAAATCCCAATGCATTACCTACACAATTTTAAATGATGTCACCTTTCTAATAATCATATGATATAAGTAAACAAAAAATGTTATGGTTAAGCAAGTAAGGAGCTTGCTTACTACCAAACTTAAAGACATCAGAATCCAAAGTAGGAAAGAATCAAGTTGTCCTCTGGCCCCCATAAGCACCACAGCACATGCCCAGGTATGTGTGTGCATAGCTATAGATTTAGTGCTCAACAACAGGGTTAACACCTGAGGCTCTGTATTAAGTTAGGCTGATTTGGTATTAGCTGAAGTTTTTGAATAAGAACATTAGTAAGAGTGCCGATCTGAAGGCTCAGCCAGTAAAGGTGCTTGACACTGGGGTGAGAACCTGAATTCCATCTCCAGGACCCACAGGGTGGAAATAAAGAAACATACGTACAAAGACATATGTTTACCCACAAACACAAGAAACAAAAGTAACTTTTTTTAAAAAAAAATGCTAGCAGCAACCATTAAAAGGCTTTCAATAATTAAGGAATTCCTTAGCTCTATCTAGCCAATCTTATAGGACTCAAAATAGAAAGACTGTCTGAGCACCAAAGTGCTACGCTATATGCTTGCAATCCCAGGCTAAAGTATGAAGATCACAATGCTTGAAACTAGTTTGAGCAACATGCTGAGACTGTCAAGAATTTCAAAACGTAAAGAAAATTAAGACCCTTAAACTTGTTATAAAATGTAAAAAGGGCTAGGTAGTGGTAACACATGCCTTTAATCCAAGCATTCAGATGACAGAGGCAAATGGATCTCAGTTTGAGGTCAGCCTGGTCTACAGAGTAAGTTCCAGAACAGCCAGGCTACCCAGAGAAATGCTACTACCCACCTACCCCCAAAATGAAAAGGATGTGGCTTATGTTCTTAAGTTCTTTGTCCTTTATTTCTTACAACAGAACAAAGGGAACAGCTTCAATATGACCATAATCAGAAGTTATAAAGTCAGTATCATCTGTCTGCCTCAGTTACAAGAAGAAAGTCTCCTGAGAAGAGGGGTGGAGTGAAGTGGAAAGGGGGGAGTGGAAGGGGAAAGGGAAGGGGGAAAGAGAAAGCGAGAAAGAGCATGAGCACCTGTGTGTGCACCAAGGTAGTTCAAAAAGAAAAGTATACCGCACTATGCTTCTTCCATCTGTTTCTTTGCTTAAAATATTGCTCCTACTCTCCTACAAACTTCAACATGATAATATTCCTTCCATTAAGTTAAGTGCCTAGTAAGTAATACATGGAATGTAAGAAGCACCTTTTAAAAGCACCTTAACAAGTCAAAATATTGCACTTTTTAAATCTAGTACAGAACACCAACTTTTCCCCCATGCTGACATTAGGAAATGACTGATCAGTAGATACTGTAAAGACAAACATACAGACAATGAAATAAGATTACTTAGCACTAGTAAGTTAATTACTAAGCAGCAATAAGTCTGTCTCTGCAATTTAACTTGTATTTCAATTGAAATGCATTGCCATATGGAGATAAAATAGTAAATCTGAGAAAATAAATAAAACTAACTTGAAAGCATAGTCACTCCTGACCAACCAGGAGATGTTCTTTAAGTAAAGAAAGATTGTCCCATAAACTTACTTGCTAATTTGGCCTGTAATCCAGAAGGTCCAGGTTTTGATGTCTCTGACTTAGAAGACCCTGGAAGAGACAGTTTTGTTTTAGGTAGGCTAACTTTAGGGCTGAAACGAGCAGCCCAATCAAATTTTGAAGAGCCACCAGTTTTACTCTGCTCCTTTTCCCTGCTACTTCTTCTGGGACTAGGACTGGATGCTGAACGGGAACGCCTGGCCTTGTTCTGGTCTTTTCCTTGTTTCACCCTGGCACCTGGTGGTACAGTCGAAGAGGCTGAGGCTACAGCCGAAGAGGAGGAGGAAGTAGAGGCAGCAGAAGAAGAATCGGTGATGGTGCTACACCCAGCTTTGGCTGAGGTGGCTGATTTTGAAGCCAGCTTGGTGGGTTTTGCAGATCTTTCTTCGGCACCAGTTGATTCAGACCCAGGACCACTCTTTACACAAGAACTCTCTGTCCTCTTTCTTTTCTGACTCCGTGAACTACCAGCAGCCACACTCTTTCTGGTGTGAGCCTTGCTTGTTGATGGCAATTGTGCAGATTTCACTTGTTGCTCCTGATCTAAATGTCTCTTCTTTGACTTATTGTGTGGCTTATTGGTTTCTGAGAGAGACTCAATGTGCTGAAATGCTCTGGGTTTTTTCGCAGAGCTAGGAGAATTGGTTCTGTTGTAGTCTGGACTAGCACTGCGTTTCACTCCTCGAGAATTGTCTTTCTTAGGCACCTGCCCCGTTTTCTGCCTTTCAGAAGTATTGGCTCTGTCTGGATCCTCTGGTTGTAGAACTATGACAGTAGATGATGAACTGCAGCTTCTAAGAGGTTAGATAAGAAAAAGAGTTAGTAGTAGCATATCACGAGTAAACCTGCCATCTAACACTTAAGCCTAAAACTCCCCAAAATCCCTGGACTAAATACTTGGGGGGGGGGGGGGGGGGGGGACGGACAATTTTTGTGAAATCCAATATTAAAATTTTCAAATAGTTCAAAAACAAAAGAGAAAGACTGATTTTTTAAATGTCTTGTTAGGAGAAAAAAAAGCATACTTTTTACAGGGAGAAGAGGGAGGAGGTATTCTCTCTCTCTCTCTCATAGCCCAGAATTGTCTATAACTAAGAAGAGTCTCAGCTAAGACTGTCTTTGAACACTGGTCCTGCTTCTATTTCCATGTGCTGGGGATTTCAGGCTTGCGCCACAATACCCGGCTCAAAGTAAGAATACTCTTTGGTCCAAAGATCACTGACAATCCTGATCAAAAGAATTTATTGTTTTTAAAAAAAAGAATGCTTAGTGGTTCATAATCACTAAGCTAGAATACTTAAGTTCAATTCTAAAAGACAAATGTTTTCCCAATGTGTAGAGGAAATAAGCATAAATCATTTCTGAAAGATTGGACACCATCTTAGAAAACAATCTTCTCAGTAACACCCCTTTGCAAAGCCTCCTACCAATTGGAGATGTAGAGAGATGGCTTGTTTAAAGAGTACTTGCTGCTATTGATTCCCAGCACCCACGTGGAGGTTCACAAGCACCAGTTCTCGGTATCCAAAACCCTCTTCTGGCCTCCTCTAGCATCCACATATATGTAATACACATAAATAAAATAAAATTTCCTTTAAAAAGAATATTGACTTGTACTAAAAAAAAATACTGTCTTAAACAGGTGCTCACAATCAGCATTTAAAAAAATGTTAATTAAATGACACCATCAACTGCCAACAATGGGGCACAAGCAATTAAGAGAAGCTGAGTTCAGTTCCCAACACCCTGACCAGGTGGCTCACAACTAACTCCAACTCCAGGGAATCCAATGCCGTCTTCTGGTCTGTAGGCATTGGCACTCATGTGCACACACCCACCAAGATATATATACACACAAAGGGTTTTTTAAATGCCTAACATGGTTTGTTAAGCAAATGAGGAACCTCATGACTCCCCAATAAGTAAAAATTTCATCGACTAAGGTATGTATAAGTGATACCACCAGAAAGGGGATAAAATATATACTCAGAGGAAAAAAGAAAACTTGTGTAGATAACTTTGTAAACTTTAATATTATGCAATAATTCAAATGCAATTTGTCTCCCTTGAAATTGTACAAGCAATGTGAAAATTTACCTTTTAGAAAGGTGTCCCCTTGACAGTTCAGAAGTGGTATTAGATTGCACTTTGGGTGCCTTAAAATTAGATTTTCTACTCTCAGGAGGGATATATCCCTTATGTTTTGCCTGCCCTAAATGTGACCTGTCAGCAAAAAATCAAAACAGAAATCTATCAGGACACTGAGATGCAAATACAGTATCGAAAGTGAAATTTTTACATTAAAAAAAAAAGGTCTCGCAAATCAGAGTTGACCTACACTTCTTCCAAATATTCATTAACTTGAGATCCTATCAAATAATCTGCGAAAAGTAATTTTTGTCTTGGACCCAACCACCTCTGTACCCAAAGGTGAAGATTCCTAAGTATCAGTTACCAAAAGGCAGTGTTTACTTGAGTAAACTTTTCAGATTTCATTACAGAAATTCAAATATTTTCACACAAAACACACACATAAAGCATATATTACTTTTAATATCAGTGTATGCTAATACACAGTAGGTTGACTAAATGACAATGTACTATATATCCCGAACTGAATTCTGGATGCATTAATGAGGAAGAAATGATAAATAGCACAGATATATTTGTCTTGATATGTTTAACATTATTACATAATGCAACATATATAAAAATACATTATTACATAGTATCCCATTAACTTAAAAAACTTAAAAAAAAAAAAGCAAAATGGCTTTAAAGATTCATTATAGCTGCTGGCTAAGCAGACCAGCAGTAAAGTATGTGCCCAGTTATCATGCTTGACAAGATCTTGGTTTCAAGCTCAAGCACAGAAAGTAGGAAACCTATTTTTGTTTTTTCTTCAAAAAAAAAAAAACTTTGAAGAAAAAAGGCAATTATGATTCAAAAAATGATAGTTTCCAATTTGTACATTAAAATTCAGGTAAGGACATTAAATGAGAAACCCATTTTCAATCTGGTTTTGCATAAAAAATCAATGTGGGTATTAAATAGTAAATAAAACATTATAAAATCAAGACAGTATTAATAGAAAGTACATATGTGCAAATGTACACATACATCATCCTGGAGACAATAAAATTTACCACAAAACATTAGTTCATGTTCAAAAGACTCCAGTGATATACCTACATTTTGTTTATTTACAACAAATTTTTGTATCAATGCCATCATTATTCTAAAAGCAAGTTTTGAAGAAATTGTGTCAACTGTTAGATTTTGTGTAACCAGTCAGGGTCTACCTGATAATTACATAGACAATAAAAAGGTACATAAACATCTATCAAAAAAACTCATCTTAATAAAAATAATTGGGACCCATGTTCCTCATAAAAGTGTTCTAATAAGGAACGAGAGCACAGTGTTATTAATAATGAAGACAGTTGCATTTCTAAAAATAAATTGACTAGGGTAGAATAACTTCAACTAATTTGTATGCAGTAGGTCCTGGGTTTGGTCCTAACTTTGCAAATTGTTCTATAGTTACTTACAAAGAGAGGTGTAATATTGTTTTTTTCAGAAAAGGATTTAGTAGCAACAGAATATTTATATACTGTATCATCCAGATACTATATTATTTTCATAGTTTTCCTGTTATACTAGTTATACTTGTACTGGAGAATGAACTCAGGGCCTTGCACATGCTAGACAAGTGATCTACTCCTGATCTGTCCTCAAAAGTTTAATAATTTAAAAATCATGAATTATTCATTCAAAACTAACCATGTTTTTGAGAAATAATAATTGAGCCAGGGGTGGTGGTGCACCCCTTTATCACCAGCACTAAAGAGGCAGAGGCAGGCAGATCTCTGGGAGTTCAAGGCCAGCATGGTCTACAGAGCTAGTTCTAAAAACCAGCAAGAGTTACACTAAGAAGCATTGTCTCAAAAATCCAACATCAACCTCTGGCTTCCACAAGTGCATACATTTGGCTCCTATATATACTATATACTAACACGTAAGTAAGTAAAATGGAGGCTGAAGAGATGGCTCAGTGGTTAAGAGCACTGTTTACTCTCCCAGAGGACCTGGGTTCAATTCCCAACACCCACATGACAGTTCACAACTGTCTATATATAACTCCAGGTCCGGGGGACCTGACACCCATGGCAAAACACCAATGTATATCAACTGAATAAAATAAAAGCAAAAAGTGTTACATAGCCCAAATAAATCACAAAAAAATAAAATTCTTTATCATCAAAAATTAACCTACTATAAAAAACAGAACTATTCTTTCAAAGCAAAATTATTCTTGGGTTTTTAATTAAAGTCCATTAAAAAAATTTTGTAGTGCTAAATTAGAATGCATTTATCATGACCTTACTAAGACCATCAATGAACTAGGAAACAGCATATAAATTCTGTGTCAGGCCACAAAAGTAAACTCTATTCAATCAGATCAAAACTGAGCGAGGCAGTGGTGGGTGGTGCATGCCTTTAATCCCAGCACTTGGGAGGCAGAGGCAGGCGAATCTCTGTGAGTTCGAGGCCAGCCTGGTCTAGAAGAGCTAGTTCCAGGACAGGAACCAAAAGCTATGGAGAAACCCTGTCTCAAGAAAAAACAAACAAACAAACAAACAGAGCTGTTACACAAAGATACCCTGTCTCAAAAAAACCCAAATCCAAGAGACCAAAACAAAACCAAACCACAAATCCCAGCACTTAAGTGGCAAAAGAAGGTGGATCTCTGAGTTTAAGGCCTTCCTGGTCTACAGAGCAAATTCCAGGACAGCCAAGGTTACACAGAGAAACACTATCTTAGGAAAAAAAAAACAAAAAAACAAAATTCATAAAATTAGTTTAAACCAACAATACTGTGTGATCCTTTCAAAATCATTTAGCTGCTGCTATTCTGATTGAGGAGTGACTAGCGTTTTCAAAAACTACTGTACAGGGCTAGCAAGATGGCCCAGCAGGTTAACGGTACTTGACACCCTTGAGTTCTGTCCCCAGGACCAACAAGGCGGAAGGGAAGGGAAAAAAAACCTCTACAAAGTTGTCAAATCTGAACACATGCACTGTGGCTCACTCGTACATTAAATAAATAAAATTGTTTTAAATCAGTGTATAATTGCATGAAAATACTAGCCATTTTCCCTATTTGTTTTAGAAAGGGAGCAATAGCTCTTCTTTATTTAAAGGACAGTCAATATTTTCAGCTTTATAGGACTTGGGGCATAACTTAAGTGGTCATGTAATTATACGCTTCAAGCCCTGGGTTTGATCCCTGGCACCACAACGACATAAAAACAATTATAACCATCAATCAGGTAGGGTCTTCTCTTTAGATCATGTAAAGACAGGGAAATATATTCCTTTGAGCTTCCTATGGTTATGCCTGTGTAAAGTTCAGTGGTCCTAAAACTAATTTTTTTGTAATGTTTTCATATATTACCAATTCTTTCCTCTCTTTTAATCAAAACATCTTTCACCACTTGACTTTATGTAATCCCAGCACTCAGGAGGCAGAGGCAGGCGGATCTCTGTGAGTTCGAGGCCAGCCTGGTCTACAAAAGGAGTTCCAGGACAGGCTCCAAAGCTACAGAGAAACCCTGTCTCGAAAAACAAAACAAAAACAAAAAAAGAAAAATAAAATGTGACCAGTTAAACTATATAATCCCTCATGTTATAAAATTTTTAAATGTTTGAATTCATGCAGATATGATGACATGTATCTATAATCCCAGCACTTTAGAGCATAATTTGAGGCTAACCTGAGCTACACAGAGAAAAAACTCTCTCTCTCTCCACACACACACACAGACACACACACAGAGTCCATATTGCCAAGCATGTAAGTGCATTGGGACTTAATTACATCTCCAAATTTATGTGCATAAAAACAGAAACTAATATAAAAATTTTGTCTTCCAAAAAATTAAGTTTACTTGAAGCATATCTTAAAGATTTCAAGGATAATTTCAACTACATAATAATTTTGAAGCTAACCTGGGCTATACCCAGTCTCAAAAAAAAAAAAAAATGGTTAGGAAGAGGAATAGATTGAGGAGATGGTTTTACAGAAACATGCCTGTTGTAAAAGGATGAAGACCTGAACTCAGATTCCCAGTATCCACACGCAAAGCTGGACCCAAGCAGCACTGCATATAGTCTCAGGTCTGGGTAGGTGGAAACAGGAAATCCCTGAAACAAACTGGTAAGCTAGATTAACAAAATTGGTGACTGTTAGAATTACTGAAAAAATATCTGCCTCAAAAACAAGGTAGTAATCTAATGAAGACATCCAGATTGCAAAGACAAGGGCAAATGTTTAAGAGTAAAAACAGCAAGACGGATGGATACTCAATGCATAAATATAAACAGCTATATACTAAACTGTATTCCAAAGACAAAAGCAAACGTATGCCAAAAGGTGAGTCTGTTTGCTTCTACATTAATACTCATTTTTTAAATCTTTGCTTAAAACTTTTTCATGTATTTGTGTGTGTCTATGCAGGCATGTATGACATAATATGGAAACCAGAAGAGAACGTTTGGGAGTGAGCTCCATCCTTCCAGCATGAGAAACTCATCATCATATATGGTAGCAAGCACCTTTTCTTGCTAAGTCAACTTGTCAGCCTTAAAAATTTTTTAAATGTTAATTAAAAAAAAGCTACAGTTCTAGTAACTGTATCAAACATCAAGTAATTATTAAAATTTGCAGGACCAATTTCTGAATAAGGATAAGACAGATTTGATTTAAGCTTTTTTTTATTTGATATAAAAAAAAAATCAAACCACAAGAAAAAGATGCTTCTTGGTTTTAAAAAAGGACAAAGAATAGGAATGAACTTAATTTTGATGACTTCATACATTAAAACAAAAAAGTCAGTCAAGGTCATGAGTTAACAACCTTCCATGAAGAGCTACAATTAATTATACAACAATCATCTTTGAAACTAAGACAAAAGATCATCTAACGAGCAATGACATAAAGCTAGCCAATATATAGGAAGATAATCAACTCACAAGCAATCAAAAAGGCTAACTTCTGCCAACGGCATACTTTTTCTGCACACTTCCAAAAATAACTGCATGGGGATAGAGTTGTAGCTAAGTAGACAAAACATTTTCCCAGCATTCACGAGGCCTTGGGTTCAATACCCAGCACTGCATCATCAGATATTCAGCTAATCAATACTAAAGACAATTCAACTACACGAGACCCTTTCTTAAATTAAAGGCAGTAAAAAAGACATGGAACAAACTACATACCACAGTTATCTAAGTGGTAACACTAAAATGATCTTATTTTTCCTGTAGCTCCCCATTTTATAGTCCCTATACATACTTTTACGGAAAAAGCAATACAGAGGAAATTAGCACTGATATAATCTTAAGCAAAATTGCTATAAAAGTTAATTTAATCCCACCACTGCCCATTGAGGAAACAAGTGAAAGCACACAGTACAATGAAATGATACTGCATGGCCAAGAGGGAAGGGATAGCCTACAAATACCTGTGCTAGAAGTGGAAAATGCTAGAAGTATCCCTGAGAGCAAGCCAACAGAGAAGCAGTGGAAGGAAGATTTTTTCCTAAGGAAGAAAAAGAGAACAGAAAAGAGAGGAACAGATCAGCTACCATCCAAAAACTCAGAGAAAAGAGAAAAAGAAAAATAATAGGAGTAAGATGTCTAGTTCATTCCACACAGCAATGGGAGATGTGAGGATAAAAGGGAACAATCAGAAGATACTTTTATCATAGGAACGAATGAGTGCAAATTATTCTTTTTAAAAGGTAAATGGATTGAAGTGATGGCTCTCAGTTAAGAGCACCACTTGCTGGTTTGAGATAAGGACCAGGATACATTTCCCAAGTACCTACAAGGAAGATCACATCTGTTAACTCTAGTTCCAGGGGTTCTGACACCCTTTTTTGGTCTCTTAGAGAATTATTGTGGCACACATATATACATGATAGCAAAAACAAAAACAAAACAAAACAAAAAACACTCAGACACAAAATAAAAATAAATCTTAAAAGAAATAAAAAGGAAAGGTTAAGTTACTAACCATAGCATGGTGGGACACGCGCACAATCCCAGTAATCAGAGGGAAGGGGCTCAAAACGGGGCCGGCCTAAACTAAATACAGAAGCAAATAATGAGAGATAGAGTGATCTTGAGAGATATTCTTGATATGGAAGGACAGGTTAAATGGAAGAAAATTCAAAAGTGACAGCTTAATCCTGTATGAAAGCAAACAGCAAACCAAGACTGAATGTAAACAAAAGGTCTAAAGATAGTCAGATGATGTCACGGCAGTGGTAGCAGGCACCTTTAATCCCAGCACTCCAGAGAAGGAGGCAGGTGGATCTCTGTGAGTTCAAGGCCAGCCTAGTCTACACAGCCAGTTCCAGGACAGCTGGGACTACTCAGAGAAATCTTGTCTTAAAGAAAGAAAAACACCTGTATAACGGCAGATCTATGGGACTCAAGACCCTCTTCTGTCCTCCATAAGCAAACACACACACACAAAAAAATTCATCTTCAAACTACAACTGCAATTGCTCTTTTCTAATAAACTCAATCTTCTCCCTCACAGAAACCACAAGAGAAGTTTTTTCAAGATTAGATAATTGTTAGGAGAACATAGTAGCAAATTAGTCTGGGTTTTGATGAGAACACACTCAATTTCTTTCCAGCTGAGATTCTACTACCAAATAACAAACAAGATGGCAATATTTTCATTAAAAAACAAACAAAAAACCTACATCCTTTTTAGCCTAAAGCTGTTTGATTATGCTTATATTTATACACATAAAAACTAGAAAATAAATCATTATTAACTACACAGTTGAACACAGCCATACCTCAAACAAGATATGATATGATGCTAAGTTTAGGTAAGTAAATGAGACCTCTTGTTTATTACTTCTGTAAAGAGATCCTTCTTTGGAAATAGGTTATCATGAACTTACTGTGCCGATCCTGAACTGACAATCCAGTTCACACAGTGATGGAGGTCCAACCAAAGGCTTTGTTTGCTTGGTTGGTTTTGGGTTTTTTGTGGTTGTTTTGCATGCTAGACAAGTACTACACATAGACAGTTTTGGAACAAAACAAAATTTACTAAATATCTTTATTAAAAGACATGATAAAGGTTGAAAAGCATGTGAGCAACAGCTGGAAAGACGGCTTGGTCATTAAAAATAATAGCTGTGCCTCCAGACAAACCAGCACCCAACAGTGACTCCCCTCCCCTCTTCTGGCCTCTACTAGCATCAGGCATGCATGTAACACATAGCCACAGAAGGTAAAACAAGATCCATAAGGTTTTTTTCAAACTTAAACTTTTAAAAGACAATTATGGAAGTTGAAATTCACAGGTGAAGAAAAACTTTTTGCATGTTTTCCGTCATTTTCAAACATTTAAAATTTTATTTTATTTTTTTTCCTTCAAAAGGAAGCACAGGATAGATTGTCTTAGGGCTGGAGAGTTGCATATGCTGCTCTTGAGAAGAGTTCCCAGCATTAAAATGAAGTGAAAAATTCTACCATAAACATCACAAGATTTACAAGCACTTATAAATAAATCCAACACCCTCTTCTGAACTCCAAGGACACCTACTTAAACTCACATGTAGACACAAACATAAGCATTTAACTTAAAAAAAAAATGAACTAACCAAATAAATAAATAAATAAATGGATTACCTTAAAAGTACATGGGGGGGGGGGGGCAGGAGATGCGTGTGTCAGGTAAAGATACTTGACACACACAAGTCTAGTAACCTGAGTTTGATTCCTAAACGTGTGAAGGTGGAAGCACAAGGGATTTATTTCACAAGTTTTTCTCTCATCTACACACACAAACCACAACATGTGCACCCAATACTCACAGATCATGCACATAATAATGACTTATTTTCTTAATGCTTCATTTAGAAATGTGCTATTCTACAATCTACTGCAATTCCAATTATTGCACCCTTATAAAGCTATTTAAACCAACACAACTCTAATCACAGTAATTAATGACTTCATTTGTTTCAAACTTTTGGGAGGATATGGGTGACACAAACTTCTAGCTTTACAGCCAGACTGACCCTGAACTTGCTATGCAACCCAAGAACGGATCAAATTTGGGGTCTTCCCTGCCTCCCCTCCAGAGTACTGAGAATCCAAGAATAAATACCACGTCCAAACCAGCTCATTTGTAAACAAGTCACCATTAGAAACTGCTTACATTCTATAGAACACTGATTTATCAAACCAACAATATTTTGCAAATTATTGCAAAATGGCTCAAAATGTTGACAGTTCATGTTCTAAAACATACAGCGTCAATTGTTCAAAAGATCTAACTTATATGAACCCATGTACTTGCAGTTTTAAAAAGACTGACAATGTCAAGATCAATAGAAACATTTTATGTGGACTGTGAAAACACATTTTTATTTTACTTTTGTATGTTCCCTGTTCTGATAATGATACTTATCCGTATCTCAAAATTGGACATGGGGATCTATGTATTTTGTTACTACCTAAATATTGGTGGGGTGTACTACCTAAATTATAGTGGCATTGAATGCTGAAGACTTTGAAATTTTCCATTTTCAACAGTATGTGAAATGAGTAGGGTGCAGTTTCTCATGCCTTTAATCCCAACACTAGGGAGGCAGAGGCAGACTGAGCTCTGAGTTCAAGGCCAGCCTAGTCTACAGAGTGAGTTCCAGGAGAGCCAGAACTATACAGAGAAACCCTGTCTAAGGAAGGAAAAAAAATCAGTTTGTGAATGATGCAGATGTTAGGATAAAATCTCACAAAGTAATGCTATTTAAATTAATGAAAAGAACTATTTATTTATAGCCATCAACATAAAAGTATAGCTATTTCATATGCTGAACGTAGAAAAAGAAAGCACAACTCTGTACTAAGTGTGACACTAACTTTGCACATTATATTACTTAAGATAATCCGCAACTCCAAAAAACAGACAGACCCACTTGAGAGGACTAAAGAACTAAGATTCCCCTGAAACCGTACCCCAAAGACTTGCAATGTCTACAGCAGAGGCAGAACTTACACACAAAGCTGTCCTGGTCCAAAGTTCATACACTTGCATACTACTTACAGTCAACATGACAAATCATATAATTCATTATACATCTGACATTTCAGTTTCTTTTTAATGATTTACCAATGTATATATGTCCTCAAGTTGTTAAATTTAAGTAATCATTCTAGAAATAACTAGAATTCACTCTGACCCACTTCAAGCTAACCACTGGCATCACTAGATTAGACTTATGCTTGACAAGTAAAGTTCTGAGTACTTAAACAGTGAGAGTCCATGCCTAAATCAGACCCATATTTTACTTTTAAGAGACTGTATTTTACTCTTCATACTATTGTATATAAAACCATTCTGATACAAAGACCAACAGCAGATGACAAAATCAAGAGAGCTGCTATGCTAACAAAACATTTCACAGACTCATAGTTCAGACAGTGTTCGTATGGAGTCCACAGGAAAGACTAGTCCACACCCCATCACCCTCTAACTGGGTGTTAAACCTTCCTTTCAATAATATCATTCAGTCTTAAGGAAAGGACCACAAATGGCTCAAAGACATGTTGCAGCACATGTCAGGCAAGTAGAAAGGACAAACAAAACATGATATGCTTATGCGAACAACCTTAAATTCAGACTTTGTATCAGTGGCTAGGAACCGATTTTAGAGAAGCCTAACTTAGAAAAAGACTGAGAAATTACTTTAAATTCTAATTGTGTGTTACTCTGCTCAGAAATAAGGGAAATGACCCATGAGCAATGCTTTGGTCCTCATAATGAGAATGTTTTTATGTGTGTGCTTTTTAATTCCCAACTTTTTAGATTTCCGTGAAATACATACCTTCCTCCTATTGAGTCGTCTTGTGGTTGGGCCCCGGCAGTGTTCCTCTGTGAACGTCGCAGTGACCCCCCTGGATTGTTATTAGGCCGGTTGGACATTGGCACCTCTCTCTTGAAGGGACATACCCTTTCTAGACACTACCATTCACTGAAAGATAAAAAGGAGGGAAACAGTCTAATTAGATATGCACAATACTATAGAGAAGAAATGTGGGGCAGCAAGCAATACTACCTTATTATACTGTGTAACTTAACTATAAACATACTATAAAAGAACAGAAATTTGGAGCTGGAGTGATGGCTTAGTGGTTAAGAGTATTTGCTGCTCATCTAGAACTTGATTTTGGTATCCAGTACCCACATTAGGCAACTCACAATCACTTGGAACTCCAGCTCAGTGGATCCAAAATCCTCTTTATCATCCTTAGGTGCAAGCATACATAATAAACAAAAACTAAGGGCCAGCAAAATGGCACACCTGGTCAAGGGTGGCCTAGAATTGGCTCCAAGCACTTGGTCAGGTAGTCCACAACTGTCCAGTAAATACAAATCTCTTGGACTCCAAAAGTACCTTCACTCAAATGCACAGCTCCACATGCAGACAGACACACATCTACCACATAATTTTTCTTAAAGTTTAATCATGGAAGAATTTGTTTAAATAAATTCAAGTTGGGTATGGTGGCATTCTTAATTTCCAGTTCTGCTGAGGTAGAGGCACGAGGATCTCTGAATTTGAGAACTACACTATATACAGAATTCTAAGCCAGCCACAACTACATAGTAAGAACCTGTCTCAAAAAATAAATAATAAACCCAATCTTTCGTTTTTGTTGTTTTTAAATCAGACTTGTTATATATACAGGGTTACTGGGATCCAGTTTCCACTTGCATAGTACTATACAGAAAAGAACCATCTCACAAAGTCCCAACTTTTTTAAAGCCTCCAAAGAAACTGGCAATCAATTCTTTCAGTACACCTGTTTACAAGAGGAACAAATGATCTCCAAATTTACAAAGGATGGTGTCAAAAAGAATTCAGTTGAATCATAGCTAATTTTCTCCATCCCAACCTGGCCACTGCCAGACCATAACTAAATTTAAGTGGAATTTTGGGACTTTTTTATAACTGTGACAGGAAAAAGTAGTTTATAATCTGACCCAATTCCATACAAAAGAACTGTTTACCCTTCTTTATTCTAAGCAAACTATCAACAAGTTCAAATTGCTACCCAAGCATAATAGCTCATTCCAGCACTGAAGAGGATGAGGTAGAAATGAACATTATGTTCGATGCCAGATTGAGCTATTGCATCAAGACTCTGAACCTGGGAGTAGGGGGAGGGTGGGGGAGGAGAGGGGTGGGGAAACGAGTTATTACAAAGAATTTCAGTCCTTTCTTTGGTACCAAACAAAAGGGAAACAAATAACTGTCAATACAAGTTTTATTTTAAAAAATAATACAAACCAGTCGGTGGGGACACACGCCTTTAATCCCAGCACTTGGGAAGCACAGGCAGGTGTATCTCTGTGAGTTTGAGGCCAGCCTGGTCTACAAAGTAAGCTCCAGAACAACCACGACTGTTTTACAGAGAAACCCTGTCTCGAAAAACCTAGATAGATAGATAGATAGATAGATAGATAGATAGATAGATAGATACAGACAGACAGAAATAGATGGCACTAAATTCCTTAATGTTTCTGTACATTACAACTCTGAAGTACACCATGACATGCAAACTTCAGACCCTTTACAACATGTTCTTTCTTACAAGTGCTTGTATTAGTTTCATCTCTCACTACACACTGGGTTCTCACAGACTGCCAAGAAGTTTTCACATATGACAATACTTCATGTTACAACACTCACAAATCACGATTCAGAATTCAATAAATGAAATACAATGGATTAATCAAAGTCTTCCCTCAAGACTCTACTGGTACTAAACCATAAAGCAACAAGTTTTATATTACAATAGCTATAGTTGGCACATTCACGTATTAAAAATAATCTTCAGGGGAAAAGTGAAATAAACACAGAAAAAATAACAGACACTAGAGGTAAGCGTATCTGAAACACTGGTTTCAGTTAAATTCCTAACACTCACCTGTCCAATTTTCACTAAATACACAGATAACCACACTTAGGAAGTAACTCTACCAAACTTATTCTCCCTACACCCCACTGCACTGTTAAATCTTTATTTTTTGTGTCTCTATAGCAAAACAGATACTCACATAAACCTGACTCAGCATTTCTTCCAAGAACAGGGACAAATGAAACTATCAAGTCACAGTATACAGGATAACAACATACAGATTTCCTATCCTACTTCTTACTATCTAACCCTAACAAACCTAGATGACTAAGATCAAGTATCACTCACTTAACAGATGACTGCTCATCCACACTCAAGCATCTACAATTAAAGTTAGGTTGGAAGGCTGATATCTTGATTCCAGGACCACTGTCAACATGACTTTCTCTTTTGCTTTGAAACACCATCTCACACTATAGCCTAGGGTGGCTCTGAAGTCTTAGCTATCCTGTTTCAGTCTACTAGTGTTGGAATTATAGGTTTGAGTTACCACCACTTCCTGCTTAAACTGACCTTCACAGCTAAGTCCTTATTCAAATTCATCTCGGAGCTTTCCCTTGTTCAATGCCATATATAATCATGAGAAGTAATACGTACTCTATTATGAAAGTAAGAATTTCTCTAAGAGGTTCAGAGGTTTTAGGCCAGCCTTAGCTATGAGACCCTACCCACCTTCCCCTCACTAACTCCCTCAAAAATATAATGCATTAAAATCGAGAATCCTCTTTTCTCACTATTTACCAAATTAAGAATATTGTGAAGCTTGAAAAATAAGGCTGAACAAACCAGTAAAAAAATTTCTAAGATCAGTCATTTCTTCTCTAAAGTAGAAAAATAGTTCAATAAAACAAGAAGCAGAGAGATACAAAAGCTAACTTCCACACCTTCAAAATGTAAAATTAAAAAAACAAGCTGGGTTTTGGTGCACACCTTAAATCCCAGCATTCAGGAGGCAGAGGCAGGCAATCTCTGAGCTAGAGGCCAGCCTGGTCTACAGAGCAAGTTCCAGGACAGCAACGGATACACGGAGAAACCCTGTAGGGGAGGCAACAAGAATTAAAGGCCAGGACAATTAACTAAGTCTCTACTAGGGGTGTAATGAATAAAAACCAACAAAGAATGAGTATCAAGTGATAGAAGATCCACCCTCATGCTTTGTGGAGACAAAAGCTACACCTAAAGGGGTTTTAAGACAAATGAAAATGAGATGGAAAGACTGTGATTGACATCAGAATCTTCAGGAGGGAGGCTCCTCACACGCCTTTTAATCTCCGTACAACACAGGCTATTATCACTAGAGTGAATCTAGAGAGCCTAATATAGGGAAAGTTGAATATAGTGGTACAAGCCTTTAATCTCAGGAGACAGGCAGATCTATAAATTCAAGGACAGCTTGGTCTACATCGCAAATTCTAGACCAGCTAAGGCTACACACACAGTGTGATCCTGTCAACCTTCATCCTCCTACCACACATTCTCTCCCCCCCCCCCCCTCTAATGCTGTTAAGGATGTAAAGGAAAAGGAACTGTTTTAGAGGAAGTAAATTATACAGTAACATAACAAAGAACTAAAAACAGATTGATCTTGCCATTTCTTACTGGATGAAGATGGTCTTGGCAAGCTGTTCTGCTGATTCTCAGCCGTTTGTTGGTGTGTGGTATACTCCAATGATTCTAACCTTTGTTTGGGGGAAATCTCCTAAACCTTCCCATGTACATCCAATTGAAGTTCTGACCAAGAACATGTCTGTTACCTGACCCAGCTATCACACTCTTTTATTGGTTTTACAAGACAGGGTTTCTCTGTAGCTTTGGAGCCTGTCCTAGAACTCGGTCTATAGACCAGGCTGGCCTCAAAGTCACAGAGATGCACTTGTCTCTGCCTCCCGAGTCTGGGGTTAAAAGTTAAAATTTTTATGGGGAGGGGACCGAGGTGTTGAACAGCACTAATTCTACCATTGAACTACCTTAAGCTTTTTTGCTTTGCTTTGATCTTAGCCTTTAATGGCAAAGTCATCTTTTTTGTGTTGGTTTGCTAGTGTTTGAACCCAGATTCTGAGACATGCTAGACAAGTACTCTGCCACTTTAGCTACAGCACCACCAACTCAGCTGGCTTTTAAGTAAAGATTTGTAGCTCTTCATACTTTTATATGGGGTATTTTCACTTAAAAAGCCTGCAGTGCTTTGGAATGAAGCCACATTCTTGAGTATATAACCATAAGGTTTTTAAGTCAGCATACCATGAAATACTTGCACATCCATTTTTACTGCTGTGTTATTCACAACAGCCAGAAAATAAAGCCAGCCTAGATGTGCGTTACAGTGAATGAATAAGCACAAGCCAAATGGAATTTTATACACCCATAAAGAAAAACAAAATCATAACATTTACAGGAATGTATACATTTCCAATACATTGAACAAATACCACGTTTTCTCTCGTATACAAAAGCAAAGTTAGATATCTATATGTACGCTTGTAGGAAACAAAACCAGAAAAGTAGAGATAAAAAAGATCTAAAGGGAGGCAGGAAACAGTAATGTGGAATACATGCATCGGAAAGCAGGAGGAACAAGCTAGAAGAAAATAAGGGAAGAACATGGGAGAGGGTAATGGTGAAGGAAATGAGTAAAAACAAAGTATTGTTACATATGTATGAAGATGGCATTATGAAACACATTACTTGTATGTTAACCTTAAATTTAAAAGAAAATTTAAGTCAGCTCAGGGGAAAACAGAATACCCAGAGCATAGAGAGTATTATTACCAAATAATGGTACAAGTCCTGAGCCAGGCAATACAAACAACTGCCAAGGAAAAAAATCCAAACATTCTTAGGAGTAAAGGTTTTCTCCAGAAGGAAAAAAAAAAGGGGGGGGGGGAGCCTGGAATATGAGGCTAACAATTTGTACTAGATAGGAACAAATCTCAGGAAGACCCAAATAAATGAATAGCAAACAGTGAATAGTCTTACAAGACAGCTTGAAGCTTCATTAACACTGGCAGACAACACTACAATTATATAAGGCATGGCTCTTCCAAAAAAG